GTGGGTGTGTATGTGTGTGTGTGTGTGTGTGTGTGTGTGTGTGTGTGTGTGTGTGTGTGTGTGTGTGTGTGTGTGTTTGTGCGTGTGTGCGTGCGTGCGTGCGTGCGTGCGTGCGTGCGTGCGTGCGTGTGTGTGCGCGCGTGTGTACAGGTACTCTATACCCCCGTGCAAGTTTAATGCAGTGATGCTTTTCCTTCTTCAAGCCTTCAACACTACTTGAGACTGACTCAACAGTGCCTCTGCTGGTTGCAGCCAAGTAATGCACTCCTTTTTCACCTCATCCACTTCAATCGACACAGTTGAGTACGCTCCATTATTCTGTTGTGCTCATTCTGAGGCAAACTTCATTTCAAGATCGTATTATTATCGATTGTCTAAAAAAAAAAAAAAAGCAAGAGACCAGTATTCGTTTTCGAGTTAGGAGTCTAAGACCTCAGATGGCGTTTCAAGTGTGTTTGGGTAAATAATTAGAGCAATTCAGCCGGTATTGATCAGCGCTGGTGAATAATCAGGATGAATTTGAAAGCCACTTGGCAAAGATATCACTCAAAGCCCGCGTTCAATCTCTGCCACAGCAGATCATTAGATTCAAGTGAATCTCATCATGCATCTCAGCAGCATATTTCAGCAAAAACAAGGCGAACCAGGCGTGACGCTCCGCAGTGGCGTGAAGTCACGCTCTGATTAGAAACTTATATTAAAAAGTGATAGTGATATATTATTACCTGAAGGATTTAGGGAACTCCTTCGCTCAAATTAACCCGCGTTAAAGTCATCCACAGGAACGACCGTAAAACTCCCCGAACAGGAGAAAGATGGTGGAAAAAAAAACCCTCACATAAAATCTTCTGCTTTAAACTCACTTGTGAGGATCTTCCATGTTTTTTTTTCATCGTCATAGTATTGGACCAAATTGCTGGGGAGGCGATCGGGTCCGGGGGGCAAACCACCCACCAGTAACAGCATTCTCTTATTGGAACGGATTCTGTAATGACAACAGGAAACAAGTGCAGCAAATAAATAAATTCTGCTTTAAACTCACTTGTGAGGATCTTCCATGTTTTTTTTTCATCGTCATAGTATTGGACCAAATTGCTGGGGAGGCGATCGGGTCCGGGGGGCAAACCACCCACCAGTAACAGCATTCTCTTATTGGAACGGATTCTGTAATGACAACAGGAAACAAGTGCAGCAAATAAATAAAAGCAAAGCAGGGCTCCCAGTGAGCGACATGAGGGGCTCTTCTGACAATGAACAAAAACGGACACTTTTCACGGAGCTGTGTTATTGAATGGTTATTACACTACAGGAATGCCTCGTTCTAATTAGCTGTGAAGTGACGATGGTCCTGCAGGGTGTCGTGCCGGAGGCGAAAAGGCAATTGAACCACATAACCCTGCTTATACAATATCTCCATCTCATTGGCTGGAATGATGCATGTGACATTGCCCGGACGTTTACGTGTGATGTATAACCTCGCGGCGCCACGCTCAACTCTACATTCAAGAGAATTGTCTGGCTCCTAATTGGCTCCAATGCAATTCTAGTAATCAATCACAATGTGAAGTCATTCTATTACATTACAGTCACTCACATACACCTTATTTCCTTTTTCATGTTGTCCTTTTTTATGCATGGCTACATCGCCTGCGTTTCTCGCGCTCGCTCTTTGCTACTGGTCCACTTGGATGTGTTGGAGGGGTTATTCGTATGTAAATGAGCCCCTGGACATAGATAATGGTGATTGATTGAGAGGAGAGATATGGCAACACGTGAAACCAATAATGACCATTTCCGTGTTCAGTTAGTGTGAAAATAGATACGTCATACATATTTCTGCTCTCAAACGCCTGTTCTTTGTATTATAACATCATTTCCACTGAATAAACTTGCTGACAAAAGGTGCCTACTTTCAGTTCCTTGACCAGAATGTAACAACTTACTTTGGACCCTCAAATAATTTCTACATACTCATCAAAATGTATTTCGTGCCAAGAAATTCAATTTGTAATGTCTCTTGTGTGTGCTCAAAATCCGGTAACTTTCACGACAACATAACGGTGGGCAACCTGTGGCTCATGGGCCATGCATGGCCTATGGTGGGTTAAGTCCAGCCCGCCACGTGAGTCTAAAAACAACCGCAAAGCTACTGTTAAAATTTTTTTTTAAAAAAGAGCCCCAGAACATGCTCCGTGAGTCTAAAAACAACCGCAAAGCTACTGTTAAAAAAAAAAAAAAAAGAGCCCCAGAACATGCTCTGAATATAAAACTAACATTTGAGCAATCACAAATAAGTGTATGACTGTCTCAACTGAATTGGCTCCTAATGCCATAACATAACTTGTCAACACCAAAACCGACTGCTTCCATACTGCCAGACGCTCAGATCACAACTTGCTGACTTTTTGGGAAGACAAAAGTGGTACCTGATGATTAGAATCTTACCTGCTGGCTGTGGTCTGCTTGCAGTGCTGCCTAAAGGGCATCAGGTGGTAGTTCATAGCATCCAGCAGCAGCTTCTGGCACACGGGGTCACTCCTCATGAAGTCTACCGACTGCACCCTCTCCACCAGCTCCGGGGCCGGGATGAGAGCAAAGCGCAGCCTCTTCATGAGGTCCGGCGCGTAGTGCATGCGGGTCTCGCGGTCATGCTCCAGCCACAGCACCGACATCTGGAAGAGCGCCAGCTCGGACTCCACCGGCGGCGGCAGGGCGTCCAGCATGGCGCACATCTCCTCGAAGTTAAGCAGCAGCACGTCCTCCACCAGGTACTTGTTGGCCAGCTTCTTGGTCTCGTCCAGTCCGTGGAGGGCAGCGATCTTGCAAATCTGCTTGTAGTTCTGCACCGAGATCTGGTCGTTGAGAAACTGCACGCTGAGCTTGGTTATCTGGGGGATGTTGAGTATCTTGCTGACCGACAGCACCTCTTCTACTGTGTCCAGGGAAAGAGTCACGTTGGCTGTGTACAGGTACTCCAGCACAAGTCTCAGTCCAATAGAGGAGCAGCCCTGCAGAACCAGGTTATTGATCGGCCTGGCACTGGGGGTCACCAGCTTGTCATCGGGCGAGGACGAAGGGGTGCCGCTGCTGCCTTGGTCCCCCTTGCCGCCCTCGTTGTTGCTGATGGCACTGTGGGAGGAGAAGAGCGACCTGAAATACTGGGAGCAGGACGCCAGCACCGCTTTGTGGCAGTGGAAGTGCTGCCCTTGGGCGGTTAGAGTCACATCGCAGAAGAGCTGCTTCCTCCACAGCAGGTTGAGCCCGTGCAGCAACGTGTCACTGTGCGCCGGGTCAAAGGTGGACGTTCTGTCACCCGATCTGGACATGGCTTCCTGATTTTGGACGCCACCTGGGCAATAAATAAACCATGCAAGCCATTTACCTCAGAGCAGCACAACACAGGTAAACTCAGTCGAGTAAAGAGAAGAAAAAAACGATCTCTTGGATTGGTTCTTGATCCAGCATGCCATAGAATTTACATCCCACGTGGATAGTCTTCAACTTCTTGTTCATGAAGCAAGAAAGAGAGGCACACGTTTCCTCCCCGTCGCGCAAGAGAACACCAATTGGCGTATCGGTTAAACCGAGGCTGTAGTTTAGGGGGCGCAGGAGACCCAAACGAACGACCGTGATGCTGCGGAGCTTTAGCCCGCGACGAGGCTCCATTCAGCGGTGAGATCCTTGCGAGGGAGAGCACGCAGCGCGGATGCCCTCTCGTCCTGCCCTCCTACAGCCGCGCATCCCCGCTAACAAGACACCACCCGGCGCGCGCCTTCCTAACGTAGTCCGACCCCCCCACCCCCACTCCTCCCCAAAAAATAAAACAGTCAATCTTCCCCTACACGACAGAGAGAAAATGGCTCCAAGTTCACCGCGACGTGCGCGTCTTTTGTTTGCGTCCGCGCCGCGACAAAACGCCATTTGTGCGTGCGTAAACTTACGCGCGCCCGTGACAACTAAATGATGAGAGCAGCCACAACTTACCTGACACACGCTCACCACGCACACCCTCCAGGAAAAAAAAAAGAAAAGAAAAGTAAGAAATCTTCGGTGGGATCCCCAGAAAGCTCACTCAAGAGTCCCTTCTTTTGTTCTCGTTTTGTCAAGAAAAGCGAGTACAACCCCCAAAAAGTCCCAATTTGGCGTTATTTGTTGATCATTTGTATCCTCGGAATTAACCAGAAGTGTGCGAGTGTGTGAGAAGGGAGCCGTGCTTTCTGCAAGAGGAGAAGAAGAAGAAGAAGAAGAAGAAGAAATATACGTGTGACAAATTATGCTACCAAGAAACAACACATCATTATCCTTGGGCCTGGGGCTCAGTGAGTCGTAACGAGAGTAATAGGAAATCCACGGTTGGGGAGAGAAACGGTCGTGCATGGCCGGTGGAGAGAGACCATGCAGGGGTATGGATGCTGGAGAGACTCGCAAAATTATGGCTCAAGGCTATTGTAAAAACTGTCGAGCGTAAATGACTGCGATTTCAAACATCTATGGAAGAAAGGAAAGAGGGGGGAAAAGGGGGGAGAAAAAGGCGAGTCTCTCGGTTTTTTTTCCACCCCTCGCTGTTATGGAGAGAAACCGTCAAGTTTTAGTGCGCATTGCTAATTAGTCAATTTCTCTCTGCCTTCACAGCCCGGCGACTTTGCTGCTGAGCTGAAACTGCTAATTTCTGGGACCAGCCTTTTTTTGGCTGTGAACTGGATGGATGAATGGCTTGTCTCGCACAAATGACAAAAAGCCCCTGCCTTAATCTCCATCGGCAAAATAACCCCTCAGCTCCCACCCCCCTGCAGCTAGTCCTTCAAAAAGCAAGGTGCACCATACAACTTGTGCATATGCATCATAAATTTCATGTCCACTCTATGTTCATCATACACCTCTATTTTAATGTTTGCGAGGACAGGGCAAGGAAAACAAAAAACAGATGTAGGCCCTGACTGTACTTTCATCCCGACTACTTTTTGATATACAGACCTGGGCACACAATCAGAGTAGTTAACCTGAGTTGTTGCAACGTATGTATGTGCACAAAAACTTTTAACCACTATAACAAGAAGACGGATGGGTCACACATTATAATCTGTTGTCTTGCATCTTGCATATTTTCAAGTGATCAACAACATATGGGCCACAATGCACTTTCAATAGAAATGCCCTGAACACTAATTATGGCTAATCATCCCATCTTGTCACCTAAATCGACCTAGATTCCAACCGAAATGTCATTGGTCGAAATACTTGGAAGTGACCACGATGACAGAGGCCGAGGACCACGTCCCCTTTCGGTGTGCCTCACCCATATCAAACTACCCTCTGACCCAACGGTCTTTGCAAAAGGGCACACCTTGGGCTAAGCATCCCTTAGCTCAGGGGTCCCCAACCGCCGGTCCGCGGACCGGTACCGGTCCGCCGGGCATTTGGTACCGGGCCGCACAGAAAGAACTTGCCTTAATTCCGTTTTATTTATTTCGGAATACGAAAGATGTTTTATTTTGAAAAACTACCGGATTCTCCGTTACATCCGTCTGTGTTACGCTTGACACACGTCAAGCCACGCGACGCGTGCTCCTTCGCGTGAGCGATTACTTCAAAACAAAACACGGGAGCTCGCAAAATGAGTAAAAAAAAAACTGCTGGAGATCGCAAATGACGGCGTCCTTAAAAGTACGTTCGAGACAACTGGATTAAAGTTATGGCTGAATACTCTGAGATGGCCACAATAGCACTGTTGCTATTTCCGACATCCTACCTGTGTGAGGTGGGGGGTTTCTGCAGCGACGGCAACGAAAACAAAATTACGAAGTAGACTGGACATAAACCACACACTTGAGGTGTCATTGTCTCCTATGACCCCGAGATGGGACCGTCTGGTTGCAGAAAATCAAGCTCGGTGCTGTGGTGAGTCGTCATTTTCATGCACTTTGAATTTGCGTTGTATCGTATTTTGAAGGCATTAAACATTGCCATAGCGATCGGAGTGTTGATTATTATTAGACGCTCCTTGTGTTTATTATTATATTTCGAAAACGCCACAGTTTTCATGCAGCTCATACCATATTATTTTGTTGTATTATTTCCGCCACACCTTAATTGCCGGTCCCTGAAAATATTGTCTGACATAAACCGGTCCGTGGGGCAAAAAAGGTTGGGGGCCCCTGCCTTAGCTTGTTGCCAGATTCTGAGAACTTGTACCAACAAACCACACTTGAATCTTGGACCACCCATAAAGGTGCCACGGTCCAATCCTGGCGCCCCGCACGTCACTGAGGTCAATTTCACACTAGTCAACTGTCCCATGGGTCCTCTATATTGGCACTCAAAGGCTAAGCGTCACACTAATGACATTATTTGCCACCAAAGTGCCTTATCCATGTCAATCAGGTGCCAATACCACAGACAAGCTCCAAGGTATGCTTGGGGAAGCAAAGAGATGGCACTCTTCGTCACAGCACCGCCAAAGGCATGGCCTATCATAATCATCTTAGTATCTCTCCCGTCTCTCGTGTCTATCATATAAAATTGGTGTCAATCAAAGGTCCTCATGGTAAACCAGACAACATCTGACAACATGTATTACACAAACAGAATAACTAGACATTAAACCTCACTCCAGCTCTATTAGGGTGAGAAAACATTCGAATAACCCATGACACATAAGAGTCTGGGTATGTTAGCCGGATCAATGGAACGAAAGCACGCATCATCACACTGCCTCCCCTTTCAATGGGGCTGCCAATGCAATCATCTCAGAGCCTCACCGATCTCCAGGGTCTATCGTACAGGGCTTCTTACAGCAGTGCACGCCAACAACAGGTTCTTGGCTAACCAATCTACTTCTGACATCAGCTGTAACAGAAATGTGAACAATCAGACACTGTGGGCTCAATTTTTTTAGATGCATCTTTATTTTCATGCCGGGGCAAATCTAGTTTATTGTGCTTGGAAATTTGGTAGACCACACTGCGCTTTTCTGGGCTTTATGACGGACCGAGAGTGTTTCTATTACACGCCTTCAGGGCACCTGACAATTTGGTGACAGAAAATACAGTCGATTGTAGAACAAGTAAAAGCGGGTCTAAGTTGTGGCACAGGAGGTGTAATGAGATTGTGGTGAATTTTGCACTCTGCTATGTGAGGTCGATGTCATCGTACTTCATTCGTAAATATGACAACAGCATCCATTGAACCCGCTGAATCCTTATGAAATAAATTCAGTGAATGTATTGTTATTATTATTGTCTGTATTCTATTTTTTAATCTCCCCCACTCCTCAGGACCACGACACAGCTATGCGGGGGGGATGTCACAGACACTAACGATCAAGGTGGAAGGGGGTCTCCAAGTGTCCCTTTCACATTGATGATCTTTGACAGCCCGGACCAACTTGTCATCATCCACAAATGGAGGTCTGCTTGCAGTTCTTCAAAAACGTAGTTTGTCTGCTTCCATCTTCTAGATGGACTTCAGCGCGTCTCTACCGGGCTGAATTTAAAGGCTTTCATTGGCCTGGAAACAAGTCGTCTGTTTTACCCCCACAAGGGCGCAAACGCCCCTCTCTATATGCGCCTGTCCGCTAAAATACTAAAGGAAGGAAAACTCCACCCATGCGTAGAGTTAGACTGCACTTTTTTGCGAGATGAAAATAGGGCCCTGAATCTCAACCCTTGAATCCAGGTTAATTAGGAAGATAAAACAGTACACAAACTCGTTACACATAAGAGTCTGGGTATGTTCATCTATATGTGAAAGCACATGTCATCAGAATACCCCCCGGACCCCTTTCGAGAAGGGTGCACGTGTACAACCGTCCCAGTGTTTTACCAGTCTCTGGGGTCTATCACGCAGCTATCACCTGTCCCAAGGGCCCTTTCAATAAGAAACACACACACCCACACACACACACACACGCGCGCACACGCACACAATAATTACCCACTTCTGACATTAATTGTGCAAGAACTCAGATGAGTTGCACCCTCAAACCTGCACATTGACTGAGAGACCGTTATGATAAGCAGACTGACTTTAAGTGTGTCGAATTTATGGCAACGGATGGTTAATAATGGTATAGAAAACGGTTGAGAATGACTTATTAGGACATAATGAACTGTCAATTAAGTAAAGAACTCAATTAGAGCAAATAAAACTTCCATGTGGGACTCCCATGGGACCGACAGTGACAGGTACCTCAAAAGTTATCCAGAATGACAGATCGGGATAAATGTTCACGTACTATGAAAGAGAACATGCTGCTATAGACCACGTTTGCGTGACATAAAAAAAAAAGAACATAATAGTGAAAATGTCATTTTAAACATGCCTAGTTGGTGTTTACTACAGTTTAAGTCGTAGTTGCGAGGACGCGTGGCAGTGCTACAGTAGTTGGCCGTGTTGCACTTGGGAGTCACATACTGTTATCTTTACAAGCGCTCAGTTAGCACTAAATTACCCAGGTCTCCAGCGAGCCATTCTAACACAATAAAATGACCATTTCCAAACTCTTTCAGCTCTTTGTAGCAGCTCACTCTCCCGAGGCCGCTGGTCTTGAGATTGCTGGGCGTTTATGGTTGCAGCGTGCAGCAGGAGGAGGTGGTGGTAAAGGGAGGGCGGGGAGGAGGAGTAGGGAATGGGGGGGTGGGACTGGTGGTGTGAGGGGGGGGGGGTCATCAGATAAGAGAAGAATTTCAAGACTAATTAAACCCGTTGAGACAAAGAATCACACTACAGTGATTTACAACTCTCTGTGCCAGTTAACCCGACTCAAATTTAGGTGTCACGTTACACAGATCAGATCAGGTCCACCTCCGTGCCTATCAGAGGAGCCCATTAGAGATGATGCCAACAGCAGGAAGACAGTTCTACGTTAGGTCACGCGTGGACAATTTTTTTTATTTTTTTTTAAACAGCTAACATAAACAACACAATTGGCTATATCGCGATGCTAGGGTAAGCTATCAAGGGCTGCTTTCGACTCTGCATGTGCACACATCATAAGGTCAGTCATGTTTTGTCCCATTAACATAAAGGGTGAACATTTAGTTCCGTCAGTGCACCGAAACAAA